CAAAATTCTATTTTAAATAGTAAATTAAATTTACAAAGATTAAATATAAATAATTCATTGGGTTACTTAAAACATTAAATGAGACACTATACATTAAAGCAGGAAATATTATATAAAATGTATAGTAAAATTTGGTATCACTTATGCATTAATTAATATATTCAACAAATATTGAATATCTATTTTGTGTAAACCCACTACTATAGAGGGGTTTTTGAGTAATAAAGCAAAGAATTTTATCCAAATTCTGTCAAAGCTATATTAGTATAAATGTTTTTAATAAGATGGAAAAGACATGCTATTATAGATGAATGGCCAGGCTAACCTCAGATAGGATTTATGCACAGTCCATGCCAGCTAGTATATAAGAAAGACCGATGAAAAGTGTAATTACTCTTACTGGACATAAAATGAATTAATGGAGGAAGGAGAGAATGAGAGAGAGAGAGAGAGAGAGAGAGAGAGAGAGAGAGAATAATTTTTAATGTTTGGGTTTTTTTTTTGACATTTGTTTCTTACCCAACACCTCTCATATCACCTCGCCCCCACCCTCATCCGCACCTCACCCAACACAGTATTATTCTCCTTTCTATTATTTATTACTTGGGGCTCCTTCTAAATACCCTAAGAACTCAAGCTACATCTGTAATCCTTCCAAGCTTGCTATCATCACAGAGTTTTCACACAACGGGCACATCAAAAATACTGTTATATTGATGAAGTGATGAATGAGTTAATAAATCTATAAAATGCATTTAAAAAGGGTTCTAGCTTTCCCCATTATTTATATAGATCTTATCATAAAATTGCCCCTTATAAGGAAGAAATTCCCTAGAAAATAGGTGGTGTCTCTTCTCTTGGCTGAGAGTACCACACTTTTCCTTCCACCATGTCCTTTGATACTGGTCCTTCTTGGACAACAGTGAGGTTACTAACAGTCACTTCATCCAACCAAATCTCTGCAGGTGAGATTCCTTCTAGAACATTTTTGAGAAATGATCAGTCAGCCTCTTCTTAAACACCTGTCATGATAAAACTTACCCTCTGTCAATGCATTGCAACTACTGTCGATCAATTCTGATTTATAAGACACACCTCCTCATATTGAACCGAAACCTTCTTTCCCCTGTAATATTAACGTTATGACACTAATTTTGTAATTTAGAGTAGCATATAGCAAATCATCTTCTCCTCCTTCAGAATTCTATTATTTGAAATTAGCTATTATTTCTCCTCTTAGTCTCTGCGTCTATACACTGCGTATCCCAATGCTTCCGAATCCATCCAGTTTCCATCTAAAAGTATGATGCCTAACTGTAAATACTGCAAAGGCAAAGTTTATCCCATCACTGCTGAGCTCTTAGCAGTAATAGAAGAAAGTAATTTGCAAAACAAATTTCACTTCAGAAATATAAATAGTAATAACTCCTTATATTTTATGGTCCAAATATTTTTTTAAGAAATATTATCATTTTTGATCTCAGAAAACCCTAACATAGCTGACATTGTTACTTCAAGTTCACATTACTTGAGAAAGTTCTGATTTGGGAAAAAAGAAACAAATCTCTAATGTCTGATTTTCAGGCTGTGTGACTGATGGTTGAGACAGGATTGTGCGTGGGTTTGCATGTATATTTTTCAGGAAATATTTGAAAATAATATATTTGTGTGCCCCTTACATTTTCCCATAGGTAACATATTATCATAAAGCCAGATTTTACAACACAAAGACTCACCATATATTGAAAAATTGAAAGAGCTAGTTGTTATGGGATCAGTCACATTAAATAGTCACTCTAGAGACCTTCACATTCAGTTGAGAATTAGGGCTGAGTATAGAATCATAAACTCAATACTTTTTTTTCCTTTCAGAATCTTAGAAGCACCTCTCCAGTGTTTGCTCACCAACCCCCAAACTCCCACACCCACTGACTGAAAGTAGGGTTTCTCCTTCTCCTTCTCTGACACTCTTTTCTCCTCTGATTCCTCTCTTCATTAACTTTCCAGTAAACGTTGGAATCTTGTCTTTATTATATGTGTGTGGAAAGTTCATGACGATGTAATTATCATGTATCCTGGCCAGGCTATGGTAAGCATTTCTGGTACGAAGACATTTCCTGTCTTCAGCTCTGGAAAATTTCATTTTATTATTTCTTTGATCATTTGTTTCCTTTCACATTTTTGTTCTCTCTTCTGGGACTCCTATCTAGTGAGATGTTCAGACATGGGTTCTTTTGAAGTAATTCTCTATTTTTCTTATTGTTTTTTCATATTTTCTACCTCTTCATTTTCTTCTTATGTATTGAAAGACTTCATTAATTTTATATTCTAGCTCTTTCATTGAACCATATTTTGGCAATCCTCTATTTTTAAATTTCCAAGAACTCCTTCTCTTTTCTTTAATTATTCTTTTATTATTATTATTATTTTCTTCTATGAATATATAAACTTTTTAATTTCCCTAAATATAAATTAGATGTTTGAATATTCTCTGCTGTCCCCTGAATTACCTCTGCTTGCTCTGGGTTTTGTTGTTTTATGAATTTTGATCTTTTTTGTGCTGCTGGTTTTTCTCACATGCTTAATGGTCCCTAAATGCTCCGTTATTTTTAACAGCAAATGAATAGTCTGATGATTCAAGGTAGCATGGTGGTTTCCTCTGCTGTTGAATTTATACATCTATTTTTGAAAGGGAAGGATGACAGAGGTCTGAGTCATTGGGCAGTGTTTGACAAAGGGCAAGTTTGAAGTTGGAAAGTGCAGATGAGGCCTGGAGGCTTGGGTCCCGAGGTGTCATCATAAACAGGGTTTTAATTTAGACACCCAAATCCACCTCAGCCAACCTCAACTGTTTCTCAGAAAATTTGTTCAATTGTTCTAGAGAAAGCCTTTTGCTGTTTGTTTCTTTGCTTGTTCTTGCATATGGGTAAATCCCTGTTGCCTGTTATTTTAGTACATAGGCATAGGCAGGTGGGAGGGGCAGGACCAGAGGAGCGGTACCATGGAGGTGCCTTCAGTGGTTCTGATTTCAACTCTGCTCCTCACCCCCTGGGTTCACTAGGAGATTGGCTCCTTCCTCCCTGCAGCCCTGATGTAGAGCTCTAGACCATAGCTTATTTTGCTGTATTCAGTCATCCTTTCACTTCCATCTGCTTCCTACTGTCCAAAAATGTATTTTATTGTTGCCTTGCTGAAGATCATGTGTGGTGGGAAATGTTGTTGAAGCCATCTTTGGAAAATATAGTCTGACATACTAGTAAATTCTACAGAATAGCACTACTCAGTTTCAGCACAGCATGAAATGGATCAGGTAAGGGGTTAGGGGAAGGTTACAGATAAAAACAACTCATTTCAGCTCTACATTTCTAGCTCAAGAATTGAGTTAAAATACACTTATTCAGAAGACATGTATTGAGACATTAGCTTATCCACCGCTTAATTTTTGCCCGTATATTTTGAACCCTTTATTATCTGCTCTTTGCATTCTTTAAGACCTTTAAGACCTTGGGAAAATGCTAACACTTCTATTTAATTCAACTCAGAAAATATTTACCAGTAACTAATTCTGTTCCAAATGTGCTCACAATTTTTATATTGTCTCCTCTCTAACACAGAAATGAGTATTCCCTAATTTAAACACATAACCCATTTTATAGCTTTTTATCTACTTGTAATATTGTACCTTGTATAACTTGATTGTAGGGACATGTCTTCCTCATTTTTATATGCCACCTAATGTCCAACAGTTAATAAGTATTTGTTGGATTAATAAGTTTTTCAAATAAGAAGCCCAGGCCCTAAATTCTATATCTTTTAGTAAGAGAAGAATTCCTCAAGCATATTTTCTTTTGTTTTACTCAAATTCTTTAAAATATGGTTCTATGATTAATCAACCTACATAATAGAAGTACAGTTAAAAGATAGCACTCTCTCCTAGACTATGAAGGGAAAAATGACTTAAGGAGCCAGTCAGTAGATGCAGGACCAAAAACTCAAGAGAACAGCCTGAACTTTAAAAGCACAATAGTATCAGTATATTTACAATATTCAATATATATACTTTACATTTAAGAAAAGTATGGGCAGCACTTTAGAATGATTTCTATCTAAAATGAATCAAAAAGAAAAACACAGGAAGTGAGAGAGGAAATTGATATTTACTGAATACCTATCATTTTAAAGCAGCTATGTCCCAAGCACTACAATGGGAATTACGCATAAATTTCCTCAGTAAAAAAAATACCATAGGTATTTTCATCTTCATTTTAAGGAAACTAGGGCTCAAAGATAATACCCATTTATTTTTTTAATCATTCAAGTAACATTTATTGAGATTCTACTATTTACCAAATACTAGCATAAGAAGAGCCTGTGAGCACGGATCATCTTCTAATAACCATTATTTACTTTTAAAATTCACTTAAGTGAAATTAGTGATTTTCTACCCTTGATAAGTGATTTATTATTTTATATACATAATTATCAAATATGAATTCATTGTGATAAACTGATGTACTCATAGGTACTAAAACATGGTCAATAAATGTTCAAATGATTTCCATACGGAGAAACATGAGAAAGGGAAAACATAAAAAGTATAAAATAAACCTAAGCACTTTGAATACAAGTATTTTAATATGCAGATCACATCACATACACTCTCTAAAGGTGTCCAAATTTTTCTGTTAAGCCTTGATTTAATAGCATTAAATATTTCCTAAAATAGTGTATCTTGAAATCTCTGTCATTATCCAAGGATTTTCTTTGTAATGTTTTCCTAATAGGGTATCTATATAAATATAGCACAATTCACTCAGGGAAGGGATGGTTCACCCCTCCCCTTGTCCCTCCTAGAAGTTCTGGGAACTTCTGTTATTTGTTATTTGTTACCATCTTTACCATTTTTAACATTTGCAGTTTTAGAATTATGTAGGTAAAGGACTAGATCTCAATGTCATTTTAATGGGACATTTAATAAATATTATTATTGATTGGCTTACTTGCATGGACTCTCAAAACAGTGGTTTCTTGTCATTTCTTGAAGGTTGTTTTGATTGGCCTGAATGGTATGATGTGATTGAAGTTGTTTTGTCCTCTAATTCCCACTGATGGAGCAGTTTCCTGGCTTCAGCACCATCCTGGTGGAAAAATATGGATTGAAAAATTAAATATTTGGATCAGGCATTTTAAAGTTGCATCCATATTCATTACTTTATTTTCCCATATTCAAACCATCTCTGACATGTGGCAGAAACTACACTAACTTAGAAGTTAAGAACTCAAGGTTCTGATACTCGCACTGGCATTTCTTAGCTTTGTGGCTTTAGCTAAAGCATTTAACCACTAGTTTTCTCAGTCTCTTCATCTGTCATTGGGGTCATAACATATCTACCTTGAAAAGATAAAGCAAATAAACTTAACATCATATTTATGCAAGCAGTTTGCAATTTTTAAGGTACATAATTATGTTGCTCTAAATCAAAGACTAACCCTACCAAATGATATCCAATTGTACCTAACTCTGTGTTATATGAATAGGTCCCTCATTTTCTCACCAGACCCTCCTCCTATTACCTCAACAAGCTTTAGAGTCACAATTCTCTTCACCTGAGTTTATAGTCCAAACCCACAGTCCAGTGTTCTCTCCCTCAGCATTCCCCAATCACCTCTTTGTTAAAAATAGTATTTGTTAGGGCTGGGCCGGCTGAGTGGCTCAGTTGGTTAAGAGCTCGCTCAAGAGGTGGATTCATTGTGAAGCTAATGAAGTTTAAGCTTCAGAGTCCTTCACTGGCATGGGTCCCTGTAAGTGCTGGGGGATTCTAGAAGTGAGGGAGTATTCTAGATGGGGAGAGGAAGCCACATTACAATAAAAAAGCATTTCAATATAAGCATTTCTGGTAAATCATCTACAGACTTTGGAAGGAAAAAAAAACAAATCTCCAAGGTTCCAGTAATTTGTTGTGGTTCATTTTCTCATTCTCAATAAAATTCATTTTAATACTTACTTTAAAATTTATAATTTTGTAGTATTTTTATTAAGAAGCAGCCCAAAATGATTAAGCTTCATGCTCCACAAAACCTGAATCTGTCCCTGTCTGCCTCCATTGCTTTTCTGCTTGGCACCACATTTTAATTCCCCTTTGTGGGAAGGCCTTACTACTCACTCAGTGGTAAGCACATGATCCAGGCCAAGTCAAACAGAGAGACAGTGATTGGTTCAGGAATAAGCATGTGATCCAATTTGGACCAATAAGAATCAGGGTCAGAATTGTTGCTGATCTTTCTACCATGGTTGTTACATTGTGGGAATGCAAGTCTGACATTGTCAATGGCCATTTTGACTCTACAAGAAGAACCTGCCTGAGAATATAATTAGCAGAGAAGAAAGCAGAGCTGATATACAAAGAAGCCAGGCCCTGATAATATTACTTTTGGCCCCTGAAACCAACTGTATTGAAGCTGGTATACATAACCCCGGGCTTTTCAGATAGACAACTCAAGAAAGCCCTCTTTTTTGCTTAAGCTAGTTTGAGTTGGGTTTCTGTAATTTGTAACTTTAAGAGTCTAGAAAAAGATAACTATTATTCAGTTCAGAAGGTGGTACTTTAGTATATTTGCCTCTTTTTCCTCCCAGCTTTATTGAAAATTGACATATAACTTTGTGTAAGTTTAAGGTGTATAACTTGATGATTTGATATACATATATATTGCAAAATGATTACTACAATAAAGTGAGTTAACACATCCACCACCCCACATAATTACATTTTTTGATATTTGCTTTTTAATAGTTATAATAATAGGTAATGCTTATTGATCATTCTTAATAAGGGTTAAATGACAGATTGTATCTTAATGATACAACTTAATGAGGTACATACTATTAATTATCACATCCATTTTACTGAAGAGTAAATTGAGGCATGTAGAAGTTAAGTAACTTGTCCAATTGGTACGCACTCTGGTTTTTGAGCTTGGGTTCCTAACTATAACACTGTGCTACTTGAGCCAATTGATTCAGAGGCTATTAAGATCATTTTAAGAAGAGCTCTCTTACCAAGACCTCATTAGCTATGCCATATGCCAGCCTATGGTTCAAATGCCCTGAAATAATGCCAGAAATGGACAGCATTTTTCACTTAGAATGAGCTAAAAGGCAGGTTCCAAGAACATACTAGACTCTTAACCAACATATGTATACCAGCCAATGGGACCCAACATCCAATCCCTCTTCTCTTGCTCAGTAAGTTCCTAAAGAGTCTCTCACAAATGGTTCCCTTTGTCTTCTGTCCCCCAGTTCATCCTGTAACTACACAGCTCCCTGGTATCGGTACTAACAATTTCTAGTTGTAGCTCATCTGTCATCTTCCATCTTTTCTGATGTGTTGTCACTGATACAGATGGGGAACCCCAACATGATTCCACTTCAATAGTCTTTATACTGAAGGTGGGGGGATGCTCTGAGNAAAAAAAAAAAAAAAAAAAAAAAAGACTCAGAGAGGCTAACTGGGAAAAGAAGAAATAGAGAATTAGTTTTAAATTTAAGGGTAAAGCCAGGCCTCTTAATTACATATTCTAAGTTTTTCCTAATGGATGATCATCTCTTCTCTTTGTAATGACTCTTATTGATATCTTCCTCATTTCTATTTACTTGTCCTGCACTTAGGCAGTGGTTTAATTGCTGAGCTAAATATTTTTAAAATTATAAGCCTCTCACTTATTCATTTATTTTCCCAGTCCCAGGAAAATACAAGGATATGATATTAAGATGAGATGGGTTAAATAGCCAATGTTTTTTATATTAAGGTGACAAAGGTGACCAATTTAAGCAATTCCCATAAAAAATAAGATGTTGAACTGGGAATTAAGCTGCTTTCTAATACATCTTGAGGTGTCCGTCTTCTCTGACTCTTATTGTCTTGTTGGAAGTACTTTAGCTCATAGAATATCAATTATGATGTTGCTCAACTCTAAGCACAAAACATAATCCAAAACCAAAAATAAATTTTGTCTATATAAATGTGTCATTGCCCCTCTGTACTTTTTTTTACTGTTATTGCTTCTATTCACATTTAATCTAATCACAAGGATTTAAATGTTTGTAATATTTCAAAAACACAATCTTCTTTGAGAAGAAATAAGCCACATTTCAGTAAAAAAATGTTTATCAAGTTATGTAGTAATGATTAAAAGCTAGTAAAGTAGTATACACATTTCAAGACTGTACAAAAACCAGTTAAACATGAGGAAAAAATATGCCTAATTCCCATGTCCCCTCACTTGTATCTGGGTGAATATAATTCAGATTCAAGCATTACAATAACTAAAATTACATCCAAAAAATGAAATTTTAATATTTAGTAAAATGTAAAAAATATTGAAGACCTTAGAAATTCCCTTAAAATTTCTTAAAGCCTTAAAAACATGAAAGTAATAAAATAAATCTCATTTAAGTAAATGACAAAAAGTATTTAATAATATTAATAATAAAATAAAGATGCAATAATGTTTTACATTTGTGCAAAACATTATACTTTTCAAATCTTTTCTCATATCAATTCATTGTTTATTGACTACAATTTCTGGTCCTCAAAACTTTTTGATGTTGATAATTCCCAATAAGTATTGAAAATTTTAACTGTACCAATGATAGCTACAAAGAAGTCCAGAGCAAAGAAGTCTAGGTTTCCTTGAAAAACAACTTCCAAAAGGAAATAATGGAAGATGACATTTGGACAAGGTGAGAAGACTCAACTTCCTTTGCTGTTTCATATAGAAAATGAAATGAGTTTGTCCCATCATTTTGTTTTCACCTAATTTTTCACATCCTTCTGGTATATTCTGTTCTCTCTTCCTAATTTCTACAAAGAAAGAAAACAACCGAAAACCCCAGCATTTCCAGATGTAGTAAATAACCACCATGAGGAATACAGGTGATTGTCACCTATTGTTCTTGGTTTTGATATGTTTTCCTTTTTCTATCTGCATGTCCTTCAACACCTACTACATTTCCCCACAGCTGCAAGATATCTTAGCTGGACAAATAGTAGGTGAGTCAAACAAAGATCAAAACTGCAGACTCATGAGCCACTTCCCATACATTATATACTAAATCTGCTGATAATTGAAATGCAGGTGGGTTTTTTCCACATTTTTTAAAAAAAGACAAATTTACTACTGCCAAGTAGACATTTTGCTATTGAGGAAAGTGGCTCAGAAAATTATGAGGAAATTATATCACTGGGTAAAAATTTATACAGAAAGCCAAATCTCACCAAGTGTGGCATTTGTGGTTCTGTTATAATGGAACAAGACAAAATGACCTTCACTTGAGTTTCCACTTAACATTTAATTTCTTACTACTAAGTCACTGGACCTGTATATAGGAATATTCAGAACTAGAATATAAAGAACCAGATCAGTATCCAAATGTTGATATTGATTTGGATCATTCACATTAATCCAAATATGGATAAAGAAGGGAAAGGCTGAAAAACATGTTTAATTACATGATCATTAAAGACTGGGAAACTAAAAAATAGACCATGAAAAAGATTCAATCCTACTTCTTCACAATGTAAAATTTTATATTATTCATTCTGTTTTAAATATCAAATCATGCCTTCTTGTTATTTATGATTTATAACAAAATTATTCTTTTTTCTTTCTAAAGAAAAGGAAGTTATCTTTTTATCTAATGAGATCTTGAATCAGAAAAGAGCCAACTTCTTCTGGTATTTATTACTTGGACAGGAATACATACTGCTATAGTCAAGTGATGATTTGGTCCTTCGAAGAAACTTTTTTGTGTGTGTGTGTTTTTTTTTTTTTTGTATCACCAACTTCCCTATTGGAGTGGAATCTTCAAAGTCAAGTCAAGACCTGAAGAGTCCCGCTTTGATGGAAAAGAATTTGACAAATCAAAGGTTGGACATTTGGTTGCCAAGTTCAAGCAAAAGATGTTAAACACATGATTCAAGAGGCTGAGGAATAAAAAGCAGGGAGTTCAAGGTGCCTTCCAAGAAATTCGCACAGATCCTTCCACAATAAGTCCATGTTAGAGATGAGAAACTACTAAGTTATGATAAAAAATAAAGACAAAAAACAATTATTAGCTACTAACAATCAGACTGCTGGGCAGGACTATAAAAGAGCACTGAAAGAGACAAGGGTGTCTGCAGTCCCATTATTGCTATGCCGAAAGAATGGAGGGGCAGGCTGGGCGATAATAACCTGTAGCTTCTCAGGGGTGACTTAACTCCACCTGGAGGTGTTACTTCTAGACCCAAGGTCAAATAGGATGCCTAAGCAGGCCAAAAATGCATATTCACAGAAACTTGTCACAAAATTTGAAGGACCTACATTTGTAGCAAAGTTGGTATAATGGCAGTTTAAGAATCTCCTTTGAGATACCATTTCTAAGTAGCCTGAATTCTTGAATATAAGTTTCATCATCACCCTGAATTAGAGAAAAATATAATTCCTGCCCTTTAAAATAAAGACTTATTTAAAACTGGTACCATTAAACGTTTTAGAGGACTTTTATTTAGGTTCTAATGATAGAGGTAATGAATCTTTTCTTCATCCCATAGACTCCCCTGTTGCCTAGTATCCAGGAAGAAGCTGAAAGCATGCTTTGGCT